TATATAAATATTTGATTAATATTACTATACATTATATTAATATATGATGTACGTGATTTAAAATGAAATATTCTAAACGGGTTTCATTTGAAATGTAATTTAAATTTAAATTCAACAGCGACAACTTCAGAAAGGACATTCTTTTGTTATTTCGATGTGAAACTTCTTCATTCAAAACGAATGAAACAAGTGTGACGTGTTCCTTAATATTTCTATCTGATTAAATTTTATTTCCATAAGACATATTAATTCTTGTTAAACTTATCCCAGTGATTAATTAAATATTAAAGAAGAATTTCTTTTGAACAATTAAGAATAATCAAAGGTAATGTGAACATTTATATATTTATTATCGATTATAAATCACTTTTATAGCTACAGGTTATGCACCATAATAATAATAACAATAATAATATGATATCTATCAGAATATTTTTTTGATAATGAATGTCCTGCAATGTAGAACTTTTTTTTTTAATTAAATTTACGTAAATTCAACAAATTGAAAATAAATTAAAATAGATAAAATAATGTTTTATTTTTATCTATTTTTTTTTTGTAGATATTAATAACATTATAGATTACATTAAAAATAATTTATTAAAATTATTACAAATAGATATAATAATGGATAAAATAATGTTTACTTTTGTAAGACATTTTTTCCAAGGTCGAGTATAGTCAAACGAAAATAATTTTAAGACTTTTCTCTCTATACTTGCATTAAAATGTCGAAAATAATGTTTACGCCAGCAGTTAATTCAGGAATAATTCTTAACCTATTTTTATAAACAAAAGTTTATTCTAAAGATCAAGGATCAAGTGAGGATCATTTTACACATTTACAAAGGTTCTCTTTTTATCATTTAAAGTTTTATTAAAAATACATACATATAAATACACGTTGAACTTTGTTCATTGAAGTATCTAAGAAATAATTCGCTTTACTTACATCATTTTTATAATAATCACTCTACCATAACTAATGTGGCACAATACAAAATTGTGCACACAATACGTGGCGTTGTGCAAACAATACAAAATACCACAATAACTATAACCACAGAAAAGTGGTGTAAAACCATTTAAAAAAAAAAGAAAAAAGAAATTGAGAAAAATAATATTCATAGATTAGAAATAAAACAATTTATAATTAATACAAAGTTATGTTTATTTTATGTTATATTATTTGTTAGAAATAAGTTTAAACCAATTTCATAATAAGAGATTCATTATTATGCATGTGTAGAATGAAATTATTTGTCGATAATTTAGAACACATGATAAGAATATATTGTATAATCATGTCAAATACAAAAAAAATAGTATTACAGTTGATTGACATCATGTGTATTCAAGTGGTATCGTCTGATTTACTTTAAACATGCATGGTTATCATGTAAAACGCTTTCTAATAGCGATCAACCGAAGAAAAAGGGTAACAGTTGTTCTGATTTTATTTCTTTATGTCAATATTCCTCATTGTTCTTTCATGCATACATTAGGGTTTAATATTAAATAGGAAAAAGAAATAAACAACTTTATGTTGAATTCATTTTAATATGTATGATGAAAAATAGAAAAACACAAAAAAGGCTATTTTCCCACATGAACACATATATATCGTAACATTGAGGAACAAATGAAGGGATAGACGAAGAATCTTAATGCATTCTCAACAGATTGACACACAATAACGTCCGGCATAAAACGCTAATGGCTTTCAATAGGATTAATTTGTAAGTCGTGCACACAGACAAGACAGACAGTAGTCACAGACAGACAAAACTACCAGCAGCAGAGACAGAGATAGAGAGAGACACGAAGAGACTAAATCGTGCATCGTCCACGCTATCTTAAATTACCTTTCGTCATCTACATTCGTATATAAAATTGACAATGAGAAGAGGAATGAAAAAAACGATGCAATTTACACGCATCGTCTTACTTTTAACTACAACGTAACGAGTCACGCAATAGTAACATATCTTTTATATAATATTAAACATATATATTTATGTTAGAATTTTACAAATGGGTATATATACGTAATTATACAGAATGTATCTGAATAAATTCATTTTTTATTCGTTATACTTTAAAAGAAAAAAAGTAATGATAATAATAATAGTAATAATAATAAAGATTAATTATTTTTGCAAGTATTATCATAAATTAATGCAAAATAACACATTTTGCCAATACATATCAGTAATTTTCAATCGTGTTCCTTTAAATATATTAGATACATTTCTACATAAGAGAGAATCGCCTTATACGATAGTGCGTCGTTGTCAACGATTCGATTGGTCGAATCGAATAACGCCACGTTTCGACAACCAATGAGAGACCGTTTGATAGCTGGCGCGCGAGCATGGTATCTTTTTAAAATCATTACGATTTGCTTTTTTTCCTTTTTTTATGTTTTATATATATTTATTTCTTTTTTTTTCATTATTATCATTAGCATTATTATGAGTATTATTCCTTGTTATAAATTTATCGGGTCTAAGAGGAAAATTAGCCCAAGGTAAAGATATAGAATGAGAATATCATTCGTAGTATGAGACTCTCTTGTCGAATGAACTTTTTAATCATGCTATGACGACGCGACCTTTCTCTACGATTGTTTCGTCGTGTTGGCTTTTAAGTTTGAGCGCAGTTATGGACCGTTCCTCGTCGTGTACGCGTCAAATCTTATCGTAGATTTTTTTAATATTTTATTATTATTATTATTATTATTCTTTTTTTCTTTTCTCTTTTCTCTTTTCTCTTTTCTCTTTTCTTTCTTTCTTTCAATCTTAACTTCTGTGAATTTTCTTTTATTTTTTATTTTCACTTCATCTTGGAATGTGTAATTATTTGACGTCAACGAATAGAGAAATTGTTATTTAATCGTGATTAATATTTTCTTATTATAATTTCACTTCTTTTTCTTTTTTTGTTATTAAATTACATAACAGATTAATTAAAGTAACGAATAAATCTATATTCGATTTCATCACGAACATATATTCAGATGTAATATGTATATTTATACTTATATTTATTTTTATCTTTAACCAGATAGGATGAGAGAAAAACATTAATGATAAATGTTTCAATATATATATATATACATAATATTATACAATCAAAATTTAGCAACATTTATCTGACATTATTCATCATATTAAATTTACCTAATATACTTTATCTAAAAATTTAGAGACATATTTGTTAACTTTTTTTAAAGACTATCCAAAAAGTGTGTAATAAAGAAAATAATTACGATTTGTTTTCATTCATAGAGAAAGATCTAATAAGCTAATTTAACAATTATATCTTATTTATGAATTACATCCAATCTAAATTAAAGTTAGATAAAAATTGAGAAAAAGAAAAAAAAAAGGAGAAATACTTTTTGCAAGATATATATTACGAAAACAAAATAAAAAAGAAAATGACATTGAAACGATTAATATTTAATTTGTATAATTTTCAATCTAAAATAGATTGAAATAAAAAAGATATGTTACAAAGATAACAAAAAAAAAAAACCTCACTGTAATGTTGAACCTTTGAACGAGATTGAACATTTAACGTAGATTATACTTATTGATTGAAATGATTTGATATTAAAACGAATTAAAAATTTAATATTAAAAATAAATATAGAGATAATTATAAAGAAATAAACAATAAGATACACTTTGAAGATAAAAGATCTCGTTGAAACATTGAACCTTTGAAAAGTTAATATCAGATTTATATGATTTAATATTAAATCAACTCTTTGATTAGGGTTAAAGAGAAACAAAGAAAGAAAAAGAGAACAAGTGGATGAAATAAAAAAAAAACAAAAAAAAAAAAAGATCTCGTTGAAGCATAAAACCTTTGAACTTGAATCCAAATGATTTGATATTAAATCAAATCTTTATTAAGATATGAAATAAAAGAAAAATAAAACAAAATAATAGGAATGATAAAAATTAAAAACATACATTAATATATAATCAAGATAATTTAATATTTAATTAAATCCTGAAAGAAAATACAAACGGGAATAATTATGATGAATTTATAAAGATGTTAAAACAAAACAAAACAAAACAAAATTGCAGAGAAGACACATCCAAACCTCGGAACTAATAATATCAAATACATGATAATATAAACTCTGAAATTTAGACAAAAAATTGGTGATACAAATAAAATAACAAAAATCTGATGACATGCCTTTTGATCGGAAAGGCAAGAAAGTTTGAGTTCACGAGCTCGCACGAGTGAGTATCGAAAAGTCAGTGAACTGTTCTCTTTCTATCTCCCTCTTTCTTGCATTTTCTATCGAGGAACAACGGGGGGAGGAAGAAGAAGAAGAAGAAGAAAAGAAAGAGAAAGAGAAGGAGAGAAAAGTTGATAGTGGTGGTGGTATGGTGTGGTGTGGTGTGGTGAACATCATGATGATAATGATGATGAAAATGATGGTGATGGTGATAGTGATATCGGTATGGTGGTAGTGAAGATAATGATTGTTACCCAACTGTAACGCAAACTTATAGAAAGTTCAAGGAATAATTTTGTAGTTAATAAATAGTCGTCGTTAGAAACTGTATAAAAAGAAAAAAAAACGAATCAAAGAATAATAAAAAAAAAAGAGGAAGAAAATAGTTTTTGAAATCCCATACGGGTGGGGGGGATAGACACGTGTTGAGGTGCGCGAGCACGCACAGGTACCAGTAGTAGGAGAAGGAGGAGATGGAAGTGTAGAGGGGTTGTGGTGGATATATTAACTCGTAGACTTTCTTGATGCGATCTATGTGACGTTTCCTTCGGTACGTTCGTGTTCGATCATATGTCAGTTCGTCCTCTATGATTAAACTCGAGTTAAGTTAAATCATTGCTCGTGTGTTTTAGTGTAAGAGTTGTTGGTGGTGGTTGGTAACGGTACCCCAACGTTGGTATCCACGTGCAGAAAGGAACATTTAAATACTCTGCAATTAGTTATATCCTTTTCCGGTACGAAAAAGAATTTTGGTTTTTTTTTTTTTTTCAGTTTCTATTTCTTTTCTGTATCTTTTTCTTCGCCTTTTCTTTTCTTTTCTTTTCTTTTCTCAACGTCACAAATATTTGAATTTAAAATTTGGTGGGAACCAATGCTCAGCGGAATAATGGACGGTCTCATCGAGATTTTTCTCTTCTGCGGGGTGCTTTACTACTTTTTTAATACCAGGTAATAATATTTGTGACTGTAGTAAATTTCAATTAATTTACTATAAAGTAGAATATATAGTTTTCCTTTTAAAAAAATTGTATTAATATTATATTAGGGTGGTGTATAAATAATTGTAATTATTATTATTATTTTTTATTATTATTAATTGGCGTTAGAAACTGAAAAGTTCATTGCCGTAAATACCAAATATCCGTCATTGTTCCCCGTCCCTGAGCGCAATCCTTCCATTCGCGGTCTTAGTATCCTATTTCTTTTAGGTCCCTTCTAATATTATCCTCCTATCTACGTCTTGGTCTACCTAGTGGTCTTTTCCCATTCGGTATACTGACCAATATTTTGTGCGCCGTTCTATCCTTCCCTATGCACTCCACGTGACCAGCCCATTTTAATCGGCGTGATTTTACAAAGTTAATAATGTCTTCTTGTTTGTTGTACTACAATCGATGTACTTCTACTTTATGGAGTTTTCTTCATTCATCCGTTTCCTCATCAAATTTTGCACCGAAGATTTTACAAAGTACTTTGTTCTAGAAAACCTTACATTTGTTTTCATCCCGTAACGTAAACGACCACGTTTCGTTACCATAAAGAACTACCGGCAGGATGATGATTGTCCTGTATTAAATAATTGTAATAGTAATTATTTTTTCCAATGTCCTTATATTTGTTCATTTCTAGATTTATTGTACATTTTACTGTTTATTGTTTATGTAATGTTTAAAAATAATATCTATATTTTTTTTTTTTTATTATCTCTTGTTGAAACAAAATTACTTTGATGGATAAGTATATATTTTTACTAAAGTTATTATCTTAATTATATATATATGAAAAACTTCAAGTTTTTGTAGAAAATATTTTTAAATGAAATGACTTAATATTTTTGTTTTATCTTTTATTTCTTAAAACTTTGTGTGAAACAACTATATATGTTAATTATTATAACGCAAATATACAAGGACATGTGTTTATTCGCGATATAATTTAAATCAATTATTTTTTTTTCTGTTGAATTTTTGATTTTACATTTCAAATGAATTATTGAAATTGAATGATTGAAATGAAAGTATAATAAGAAAATCTAAAAAAAATGAAGAAGTATACAGGATGGTTACAAATAAAAAGGTTTCGATAATAAAATCTTGTTCGAATTAGATACAAGATTAAAAAAAAAAAAAAATAACATCATAAGACTTATCTGCTTCTTTTTGTTAACATTTTAAAAAATTATTTATAAGTAGTGTTGTTAAGAAACGAGAAAGAAATTTGAAAAGAAAATTAACAAGAGTAATATGTATCATTATAATTGAAGATTATAATAGAACTTGTTCATTGTTTCTATCAGCTCTGTTCATTTCCATTCTTCATTTTTTTTTTCTTTCTTTTCTTTCTTCTTCAAATCTAAATACATGATATCTTCATTCCCTTGGACTTTGACAGTTATTGTTACGCGTCTTTATCAGTCTTATCAAATTATTATTATTTTATTTTTTTTGTTTTTTGTTTTTTTTTTTTAAATACAGAACAAAATATTTTTAATATTAATTATAATTACGATGAACTTTGTGTTGAATTAAAATTTGCTTAATTTTTAAATAACTAATAAGAATTAAATCAAATTGAAATAATGATAATAATTTCTCGATAAACTTGTTTCAATCGATGATTAAATTACATCTAATACCTTATTGACATGTCATGTGATATTATCATTCAAAGTAAAAAAAAAAAAACATTACGCAGTCGAGTGACTTTTCGTCATCTCGGTTATAAGTAATCCTTCCAGTTACAAGATCTCAATTAATTTACAAAAATTAATATATACATCCTCCTCCTACACAATATAAAATTTACAGAGGAGTGTATACTCAATATAACATTAAATTACTTGTATTTAATTTATTAAGTTTTCTTTTTACAGAGCTACGAACATGGTTGACGTACTTTTCATGCGACTTCAAGAAGTTTATGTAAAATGGGAGAAAAAGACGGAAAGGATGAAACCAAAAATTAAAACGGAAGATGATGGTAAATTTTGTATAATTTGTACGAATATTTTCAAATGAATTTGATCAATTTTTAGTTTAATGTTAGAACAAACACGCTGTCATAAAATTATGAAAAAAAAAAAAAAACTTATATCAAGTTTTTATATTTTAGGTTTAATCCCGCTTAAAAAAAGGGAAGATTTGATACCAAAATGTCCTGAAGATAATGAATTATTAACTGCTGCTAAATATAATAAAATGAGCTTTGATGAGCTACCTATATCGTGTTATGAAGGAACAAGTTCATTATTAAGAAATTGTTGCACTCGTTGTACAATGACTTCGTCTAAAGTAAGTTTATTTATTATAAATTGAAGTAAATTTAAATTTGCTAATTAATTAAATCTTTATTTTGTTCATTGTAGTATAACGCAAGTTTAGTAAATCAACAATGTCGGGATCCATATGGTGTAAGCATAATGACGATAGATTCCGGTCCTGGATTATTTTCTAAATTGTTTGGTCATTTGTCTCACGTTTACAATGTTAAAACATATCATTATCCAAGATTAACAGAGACAGTGAGTAATATTAAATTTGTTAATTTGTTATAAATAAAAAAAAAAACATATTTCATACAGATTTGTTTTAGGTATTGAACAATGAGAGATTAAAAGAAGCGATTAAATTAGCTGGTTTAGAAATGTCTGTAAAAGATCAAATAAATGAAAAAACAGCCTTTATAAAAGCTCAAGAACGAGCGAAGATGATACTTTTAGACATGGAAAGTAAAATTAGTAATGTCTTATTAAAAATAGTCGCATGGGTTCTTTACAAATTATTACCTTGCTTCACGCAATCGGCTATAGTTTATTCTCCGCATATAGAAATGTTGACAAAGGCAAAAGAATCTGGTTTGCCTTTAATTTTCTTACCCCTGCATCGTAGTCATTTGGATTACGTTATGATAAGTTTTATTCTTCTTAAGTATAATATTAGAAACCCGTTGATTGCAGCTGGTGATAATTTAAAAATTCCTATTATTGGGTATGTATTATTATTCTGCTTTTTTATATTAATGATCTTACATCAACCCCTTGCCCTACAATTTCAGTTCCAATGTTGCAGGGCAATGGTTTAATAAAATGATTGGCAAAACTACAAATTATTTATTATGTTTCCAGACGACTTCTCAGAGGTTTAGGTGCATTTTTTATTAAACGGCGTATCGATTCATGCGCAAATCGTAAAGATGTTCTTTATCGTGCCATTCTTCATACATATATTACGGAAAGTCTTCGAGCCGGTCATAATATGGAATTCTTCGTCGAGGGTGGTAGAACAAGAACTGGTAAACCATGTATGCCAAAAGGTGGTATCCTAAGTGTTATTGTCGATGCTAATATGGATGGTACAATCGAGGATGCTTTAATAATACCGACTGCGATGAATTATGAACGTCTGGTAGATGGAAACTTTGTTAGAGAACAATTAGGACAACCCAAAAAAATGGAAACTTTTGGATCAACTATAAAAGCTATGTGGTCTACATTAATGGGAAATTATGGGATTATTAAAATTAATTTTTGTCAACCATTTTCACTTAAAGTAAGTAAAAATAAAAAAGTTTCATGTGTTCTCGAGAGAATGAGTCGAATGCAGAGTATCATGAGTGTACATGTGAGTATATAATTTATTTATTTATGCATTCATGTATATGATTAGGAAATGGTGAAATCAGTTCAAGAATTACAACAAAAACAGTCTAGAAATTCTCCAAGGGAAGACAGGACTCTGAAATACACGATATCTAATTCATCTCTTTATGGAACAGATTTTGTAGTAGAAGAACATCGTCAACTGGTTGATAAAATAGCGCGTCATGTTGTATATGGTATGTAACAAAAAAAAACTGTCTCGTAATTATTATAACAAACAAAAATTGCTAGAATTTATTTTTTCAGATTGTTCTAAATATACTCCTATTATGTCAACGAATGTTGTCGCTTGTCTACTTTTAAATAAATTTAGGAATGGATGTAGTTTAGACAAATTGGTAGAATCGTTTGATGAAGTTCGAGAAGATTTCAAAGATGATGATTTAGCTTTCACTGGCCAAACCATTGATATTATTAATCATGCAGTTAGTAAAATAATAATATTATTTCTATTTTAATAAATAAACTAAACGATGATAGTAAAGAAATAATGGAAACTTTTCATTTCCAGTTGGATATCTTAGGTCCAGGATTAATCAAACAACAGGAGGAAGAAATAATAGAATCTGTAAATGGACAGAATATTAAATCAAATGTCGTTATGGTTTATCCTGTAACAATATTATCAAGTTTAATTGAATTATCGTATTACAGTAATACTATGTTACCTTATTACGCTATTAAAAGCGCTATAGGTAATAACTCACTTCATTTTAAATACATATTAAAATATATTTTAATTCATATTATTATATCTTATCGATATATTATATTTTCAGTTACGGTAATTGGTATTGAAACGTTACCTATAGTAACTAATTCCCGAGTTACTCTAACTTATAAAACTTTTTTTAAAGATGTAGTAGTAAAAAAAATAATTAAACTATGCGATATATTAAGATACGAGCTTATTTTTTGCAAACCTTGTGAAACGCTTGAATTCAAAATTGATGAAGCAATAGATGAACTTAAAAATTCTCTTTCTATTAAATTGGATGAGGTAAGTTTATAGAAAAATGTCTATATTCATTTGATTTTAATAAGAATTATTTGACAGGAATCTTACGTAGATATAGAAAAGTGGAGTAGAAGATGTTCTAAGTATTTTGATGATAGTTCAGATGAAGAATGTATGGCAAACATTCCGACAAAACCGAAAAAATATTCTGTAAAATATATTTAATTTATTTAATTCATTATTAAATGATTAATAACATTAAAATAATATCTTACAATGAATCTTATTTTTCAGCTTGATTTAACACCATTAGAAGTCACGCATATGGAATTTTTACATGCGATTTTACGTCCATTAATAGATACATACTCATATAGTGCACTTACTTTGAAAAAATTAATAGGAAAATCTTTATCCGAAAGGGACTTAATCAAAGAAGTTTCTAACGAGATTCAAACGAATTTGGACAACGGTAGAATTGTTTATGGTAAATAATGTTTAATTCATAATATTATTATCAAATAATAAGATTTTCATTTAATAACGAAATTTAACGTGATTATTTTAGGTGAAAGTTTATGTGTTGATCCTATTAAGAATTCTTTTAAACTTTTTGAAAAGTGGGACATCTTAGAATGTATTATTCAAGATAACGTTAAAAAATTTCGATTAAAATCGGGTTACAATACAAACAAGGCTATCGAAACGTTGTATCAAGATATAGCAATATTTCAATGGTTCAGAAATACGAAGTGAACTTCAAGATAAAAAAAAGTTGATGGTACGTTGTATATAGTTTTTCTAAGCCGTAAAGTATATTTTTTAAGATTTTTTAGATGATATTCTGTAAATTCGTAAAAAAAAAGATGTTAAATATATTAAAAAGATATATATATATATATGTATATATATACACACAATATTGTGCATATATATATATGTATATATATACACAAGGTAAATAGTTATCATTTTAAATTCATAGTTTTCACAAATGTTTGTACAGTCGAAAAGTTTACTAAGACAAGATTATTTTATGATGAATTTTTCATTGTATCATAGTAAATGAGTGCTAAAATCATAATGTGATATCTATATATCAATTTATAATTGTTTTTGTCGATAAGAATTTTATCATCTTAATATTAAAGAATTTATTTTGAAATGCACATAAATAAAATATAACAAAGAGGAAGAGGAGAAAAAAGTCAAAAAAAAAAAAAGCGAGTTAAAATGAAAATAATTATAAATCGTTTTTACAATAAGAAAATTAAAATTTGATAGCCGATGCCATTGGATAACTTCGTCTCAAACCCAAACATTTTTCTCTGTCTATGAACAAAGCATCTACTTTTGATTTTAAATCTGTTTCCAAATTAGCTCTCGTAGAGAGTAATTGCTGATGTTGTGCTTCGAATGTTTGCAATTTCAAATTCATATCATGTATCATTTGATTGATCGTTTCTACTTCTTCGACCATTCTACAATAATGTTATAGTAGAATATTAGAATATAAATTAACTTATAAAATTTGATATTAAATAAATAAACAAACCTAAGTTGAGCATAGTCTTTACATAATTCAGTTTCAGGTCTACGCGACCTGGCTTCGAGACGCGTATGCGCTACTTTTAAGGCGCTACTTTTATCAGCAATTGCTTTCTGCATCAATTGTAGATTTTTTTCAATATAAAAAAGTTCTTCTTGAATCTACAATATGATGCGTATAGGATATAAATTTACAATCTCATCAAATTTGAATAAAACTAAGGACAGGACGCGATACCGAGTTCTACTTATTTCTAATAAAAATAAACTAATGTAATTTCGTAAATAATATAAAACTATTTTGATATATATAAAAAAAAAACAACAACAACAAAAAAATTCACTATTATAGGCAAGATTTTCTAATAAATGTAAATAAAATTTACTTTGTACAAATGCGATTGGACTTTTCCTTTAGCTTCTAACATTTCCGCTGCTCTTCTACCCAATGCTTTGTTAGTTTCACCCCAGGCTTCCCACATATCATGTCCGACTGCATTGATAGCACTCTCGATATCATTTCTAAGCTGATTAGACTTAGATCTCTCAGATTGAGATTTTTTGACAGTCTTGTTTGACGCTTCTGCCCATGATTCGGCTTCTGTGATACTATTAATTAATAAAAACCCATCAATTTATAAAAAAAAAAAAAAAACATTTTTAAGAAATATTATCAAAGATATAAATAATTATTTATAACTACCTAGAATCATATTTTTCAATTCCACCGTAATATTGTAAACCACGACTAAAGTTATTTAATTGATGACACATGGTATCAATACCAAGTGCAACTTCTTTATTTCTTATATCGATTTCTAATTGATTTTGTACCGCTCTACCATCGGAAAGCTAAAACAAAATGTACAAATATAAGATAATAATGTAAGATAGACGTTACATCGATAGTTTTTATTAAATACTTGATTTAGACATTTTTCTGTAAATTGTTCCAATTTCTTTTGACAATTTTTGACAGTTTCAACTTCTTTAAGAAGCGCGTGTTCAGCCTGATCGTGCACCAAATCGTTACCTAATATTTTACAAAATTAGAAAATATCAACGAATACAAATAAATGACATAATTTCAATCATAATAACTTAATGAAACCTGTTCGAGATTCACGATAATAGAGACACTCTTGAGCAATGTGTAATTGTCCTTCAAGATTTTGAATAGTTTGTTGTAAATTTCTACGACAATCTTGCATCTTTCGATTTTCAATAATTAATCTTTGCAATTCTGAAGCTCCTTCATTTCGCCAAAATGAAGTATCCGTAATTCTTTCACCTAATTTACGTCCAGTATCCATTTGCCCTTCTTGTACTCTTTCGTCTGCTTCTCTGATATAAAAATCATCTAATATTTAAAATAATAAATATTCAATAGTATATAATAAATAAATATTATTTTATATACCGCATAAGACGCTCGGTATCCTTTCGTAAGTTCTCAGAATAATTTTTATTAGCATTTGATTCATTATAAAGTCTTATTTGATTTTGTACCCAATCGTATGGAGTATATCTTGTGTACAATGCAGTACGTGCGGCGTGTGAAGGATTTCTATCGAAACCAGTTACCAAATTTGGAAATTTCATGGGTTTTGTTAACATACCACCTGGCATAAAACATGGATCTACGAGTTGATTCGTTATAGGTTGTTCAGGTCTAAAAATATTAGAAAAATCTTAACAAAGTTTGAAGGAAATACCACCGGTTATATAACACCCTGTATAATATCTTACAAAGGTGACGCTTCTATAATTTCATAACCCAATGTTGGTCGCCAAGGATGTGGACGTGGTGTTTTATAAAGTTCTCCAACTCTTACGGGAATTGGTGGTCCAGCAATTTGTTCCATGCAAGGAAGTACTCCTACCGTACTCCATGGTTGAAGTTGCTATAATAAAATTAATTTATGTAATACAATATAACAAAATAATTTATTATTTATTTACACAGAATGCATACCGAATAAAGTACAGTTTCTTTCTTTTCTTTTTCTGTCTCCATATTTATTATTTATGATTATAAACAAATTTTATATTATATTATAAAGCTGTAGTGTGCGTTTTCATTTAATTTGATTTCTTTAAAGATTTATGTGTACATGTATAACATATATAATATAAAAACATATATATATATCTGTGTGTATATAAAAAATAATTAATATTTAATAACTTAATAAGATAATATATAAAAGTAATGTTATTAAATATGAAAATAATGATAAGATTAAAAAGCGTAATTTAGTTTGAAAACCGGAAACGGGTGTGTGATATGTCACGTGTCTCTGTCACATGATCGAGATTCGATATTCGAGATTCGAGATATTCTGGTCAGGTGCTCGATTGCCTTCTGCTAAGAACCACAGTTAATTGCCATTTGTCATACAATTTAGGTGTGTCAAATAAATAAATTAATTATTGTGATTAAAATAAAGTTATCATGACGAGAAAACGTTGTACGTTAATTCTAACATTTGTAGTTTGTATTTTTTGTAATATATTAACGGCAAAGTGTAATACATTATCGGGTGATACAGTACCTGTTTTATTATGGGGTAGCTCACCCGAATTAAATTCTCCTCCAACTGCAGTCAATCCATTATTGAGAACTTCTCAATCGGAATTTACTCAAATATTAAACAGTAAAACGGATAATTCACAACCACCAGTTATTGTTTTTGTGAAGGATAGTTTGTGCGTTGAAGATCTTACCCAGCATAAAGAAGTTAGTGGATTTATGTTTGCAATCATAATTTTGTATTATTATTATTAAGTATATTATTCTATTAAGACATTAATTTGTATAATTGATATTTAAGGATCTACGACAAGTTACCAACAGAAGTCTATTGGCTTATTTACCTGCTGTTGAATCACCACTTTCTGTATTCGAAGATTTCTCTTCTTACAATCAAAGCTACGATGACAATATTGACACTATATCGGATGGGCAATTGGTTATTAAACCAATCATATCTTTGGATAGTATTTCTGAATTATATAGAAACGTCAAAGATTCTAGTCCTTATTTAATTGCTGCTCTTACTGGAAGATCATGCAGTTATAGTCGTTCAGAACGTACTAAAAGAGCAAATGTAGATAATATTTCTGATACATCTAGAAATATCAGAGATACCTACGCAAATCCTGGATTAAAGTGCAATGATAATTGTACTGTTGGGAGTAATAATACAGAATTTATTGTCAGAGGAGAAAGAGTACTTTTATACGGGAGCCAGTTGCCATTCATAAAGGTAAGTTTATCGTTGAATTATTTTTATATTCTTTTACTTTTCAAATAAACTAACAATATTTATAATCAATACAATACTTTTTAATTACAGACCAAAGACATGGATTCATTCAAAAATCTTTCCACCCTATCCAATTGTTTAGAATGTTACTCTCAAAACAATATTCAATTAAAATTAACATTTAAGGAAACTGATTCCAACATGCCTAATTTAGTTTTAAGATTTGATATAGAAAATGCATCATCTGGTTATTATTCTCTTCAAAATATAACTTTTAATCCGAACGATGCTAAATCGAATTCTGAGGTTTTAACTTCTAAAACAGATATGGCATTTCCATTTAATTTCTCATATCATTGTTCCAATGCAATTATTTTTTCGGGAGAGAATACTTCGGTCAAATTGCCCGACATTCAATTACAAATCGATGCTACTAAATTTAGCGATGCTTATGATTGCGTCAATTTTACTACTATCCCAATTTGGACTGGAATATTTGTTACCGTCATATTAGCTTCTATCATGATTTGGGGACTTGCTATGATCATTGATATTCGTACTATGGACAGATTTGATGATCCTAAAGGTAAAACTATTACCATATCTGCCCAAGAATAAAATGAAATAACTTATCGATGATATTTAAATGTATAATATATAAATTGTAAGTAAAAATGTTAGGATACATATATATATATATATATATATATACACAAAAACAAAACAAAATAGTGTGTTATAATGTATAGAATGTTGTTACGTTATTTCGACGATATGTAATATCTTTATATGCTAAACTTTGTTTATGAAATAATTATATACAGACTGTGTTCCATATATTTCTCTAGCATTAGCAAAATCAAAATGTTTAACAAAATTTATCTTACAGAAATCTGTATACCATTCCACTTGTATAATATTATATCACCTATAGTGTTTATATCTGTAACTATAACGAATAATAATATTTGAAACAATCTTAATAGATATGCACATTATATATATATATATATATAATATCAGATATAAAAAGATCTGTAGATGTTTTAAGAAATTAATTTCTTTCTTTCGTTCCTCTACTATTTTAATATATCCAGATATATATATATTTCACATTATGCAATATTTTTAACACATGTCTTACAATAGATATATATATATATATATATATAACAAATGTTTTATTATAATTTTTAATTTAGAAAAACAATTTTTAATAATTTACAAAGTATTTTAGTATAAAATGTTGTTCATTCGTATAATATTATTTGCCATAAATGACTTTAATTTCATTACAAAAATGTAATATATAAATATAATAATAATAATAACAATAATAATAATAATAATATTAATAATAATTAAATAAAATCATTATATTGTCATATTATGAAATACATGCAGGAGCATCAATACCATGTATTACCATAAATACTATTGAAAATGGTGATAAAGTAATAAATTGTGTAGGATTCAAGATAATAGGTTTGAAAGGTGGTAATTTACCATCGTTTTCTAATTTCAATATTTCTCCATTCAGAAATAAGTTTCTAAAAATAAATAATTAATAAGATTATTGATATAGTTCGAATTATATATAGCACAACTATTGTATATCTAGATCTATATATAATATATATATATAAATTGTGTAAAAAAAAAATACTTAATTTTTATTTTTAATTTAATTATATGTGTTATTGTTAAAACTTGTCCATTGTATAAAAAGCATCTAATAAAACTACATATATTATTTCTTTGCGCATACCTTGAAGTTAGAAGATCAGACGTAATATTGTATAAAAATATTTTTGCATTTTTATTTAATTTATGAAAGATCCCTTGAATCATTATTTTAGATGGAGATTTATTTAAATTCATTCCAAATATAGTAATTGCAGTAACACGATTAATCAAAGATATTTCTGGAGTACAGTGAGCATAAATTCTGACATATTTGAAAGATGTAGATGAAGTTACTTCTAATACTTTATCAGATACAAATTGTTTGTATATTACACTAATCCACCAATCTGGATTAGGTAAAAGATCTGGCCCAATCATAGCATAATTTCCACCAAATAAGGATTGTCTTATAACAACGTTTACACCTGTTTTAGCACTGTATCCTAATTTATCCAACCATAAAAATCCTGCGACGTATCTATCTGATAAACCTGGAGCTCCACCACCAAATGCTGTACTAGTTTCAGCTGTAAATTATTTTATTTATTAGTATCATAATAATACTATACTTTATTATATAAAATAAAAAAAAATAAAAAAAAAGAAACATACACAACCACATGGAAATAGATTTTCTTAATTGTTTAATAGTATTCAACATGCTTTCAATTTGCACTGGTAAATAGAAGAAAGTTAAAGGATTTATAAAATCTTTAACTTCAGCTTCCCGTCCATTAAGATAATATTGATGCCAAGTAACATAATTGATACTATCTTTATCATTTTTCATAAATATTTCTGCATAAGATTGGCCTTTGTTTGATAAATCGATATGATTTACTTCTGGTCCAACGAGCAAGCTTTTTTGGTATCCCATTCGATTTAATAAATTGCGGAGTTGAATGTAATCTTTTGCTAATTGTTCTGCCGTTATCGTTCTATTAAATACATGATGAAATGAATTTGGTTCTGTAATTAATAAATACAATTGATCTGTTCGATTATACTTTTCTTTTTATAAAATGAAAATATATGAAAATTAATATTACAATCACCATTTCCTAATTGCCAATCTAAATCCATATTAGATAGTTTTGCAAATGAAATAATATCTTGAGCATTAGTATCGTCCCATGAACCATTCGGATATCTGATTAATACGTTCAAATCAAAAAGCATCTTTAATTCAGATTCTATTGTAAATTTGTATAATGATTGAAAATCCTTATCAGTAATAGTAAAATTACTAATATCTTGTCCGTCAATGGGACTTATTATTTGTGCAGATGTTGTAAGAGTCTGAATTAATTATGAATATGTTTAAATATACATACATACATATATATATATATATATACATTATAAATTAGATTAAATTGTAAAATAAAGATTATAAAATTATAAGATCAGTATTATATTTAATTTAATATTATTTTAAGGATCAATAGATTTCTATGTAACTTGATCTAATTGTATGTACACATTTAATTTATATTTTGTAAATTAATGTAAAGAAAACAAAAAACGAACCTTATTAAAAAATAAACAATCCGCTGATGTTCCTCCAACTCTAACAAAAGCTGGTTTCAAATGTCGCGCCAAATTAATAAACCTTTCATCCATTAAGGGGAGCTCTTTCATATTTCTCAACAAGGAGGTATCAAGTCCGAGAGATAAAAATCTGTCAGAAGTTTGAAATAGTGTTTTATCCGTATTAAAAGAAAATACTGAAATATTTTCTCCATCATAGTGAAGGAAATTCCAAAATGGAAAAAGGAACAAAAATGTTGAGATAATACTGAATACAATCAAGTTAATAATAATCCGTGATTTTGTTGTACTTGTTATTGTTGTTGGTGGTGGTGGTGGTGGTGTGCCTAGAAACATTAATTAGAAGCTATTTAATAAAGGTACTCATATTTTTCTTTTAAATCAATTCAAATTATGATTGTACTTGTGATAGATATAATTCAATTAAAAATAATAAATATTTATTTAAATAATGACGAGAAAATTTATTGATATCGAAACTTACTTTGATAAGTGCATTCGTTACTTAAATTTTGATATTGATTTTGATTGCAATCGTTACGCACAAAATAACTCACTTCCTTAATCATTTTATTAGAATAATTATCATTAATTATTAATAGATATTGTTTATTGAGAATAATGGATTAATTGCAATTAAATGACATATAGAAACGTATCTTTATTTTCCTCCTCTCACAGTCGACAAAACTGATGAATGAATGAATCGATAGTGCCGCCACTATCGATTACGAGCGCGACTATTTAAAAATCATTCTCAATGAGACATTAAAATCAATGTATTATTAACATTAAAAACATATAAGAATAAGCACAATTTTAAAAGGTTTTTTTTTTTTCAAAATTGACTGGGCATATTACCAATATAGCAAAGTTTGTTAAAACCGTAATGTCTCTTTGTAAGTTTCTTTTTTCAAAAATAAATAAATGATTATTTTGTATTCTTTGAGATAACAAAATGATTATCTTGTTTCGAGTAATGAAATTTCACATTTCTTGTTTTTAATTTCCCTGTAATTAATAAAAAATATTCATTACAATATTTGAAATTGTCATTAAATTTGATTTGTATATTATGTTATATAAAATTTGAAGAGTTAAGATAGATTTATTATATATTTCATTACCATTTCGATAACTTAAACTGTATCTGCGTTTATGTCTTTTAATTAATTTATGCTTTGATTCTGTATTACTTAATTCATCCTCTGCCCAAAATTGTAAATCAGTATCATCCGAAATAGGAGGCGGTGGTACTGAAGGCTTTAAATTATATAGAAAATATTTATATAATAATTATTAAGAGTAATAATATTTATTTTATTTTTATATATATGCAGGGTGTCTTGTAATTGATGATACAAGCGAGAGATGATTTCATATGAAAAATTAAAGTTTAAAATGTAGAATAAAATTTGTTTATATGATTACACAGCATACCCTGTATATGTATAAATATATTGACAATTTCAATTGTTTAATTTTAATAACTGTTATTTTATATTGATTATCCGTTTAACTTACAGCTTCTCCAGAAGTATACAAGTAATCTTTATTTCTAAGATTTAATTGAGACATTAAAAGAGTTGTTTTCTTTATAAGGGACACATAATTAATGTAACCTTTTTCATCTTTTAAATTGTTTATCATATATTTTTTACCCGTCCAGGTATAACGGCCCATTATTTAAAAAAGATTTTCCTGTACATTATATTTATCGTATATTAATTATTTGTACTTGTCATGTTTCCATATATACTTAAAAATTTACAACTTATGCACAGCTAATTATTGTTGATCTACACAAAATAATTTAAAAGAAAAAAAAATTAAAAAAATGTCTGCACTGTTTACTTCTTTCTTTTTTTTTTTTTTCTTTCTTTCTTTCTTTCTTTTTGTTTTTGTTTTAATATTTAATCTTATATCTGAATAGGATTAAAACATCCTATATTATTCACGTATGCATTGATTTAACCCTTTGCATTTAAATGAAGAATGGTAAGCGAGACTCATCATTGAAGTGTAAAGGACTAATATACGAAAAGTAATGTTGAGGTAATATTTTTTGTATGATAAAATTCCAAATCTATTTGTAATCAAAATAAGACTAATTATTCAATCATTTTCAGATTTTCTACGTTTCTTAGAACGTGGACTATCAGTGTCATGGGGACTCGGAGTAATGTGACTTCTTTTTCTCTTAATACAATTTTCACTGATTTCGATACTGCTACTTGCTGCAGTTCTTGTTTCCCTACGGAATGTTCCTTCTCCTGTCGCTTGTACTAAAATCTGAAAATCATATTCGTAAAATATTAACAATACCCAATCATATAACATTGAATATATATAATTATAGTGTAAGTTTGATATTATATTTTAATATTCACCTGCATATGTTGTAAACATTCTTCTTGCATAGAAACTGCCATTTTATATATAAAAGTATCATGCTTGTTATACATAATAGCATTTTGAAACATAAGCATAACATCTCGTTGAAAATGCGTAGTCGATCTGATTGTTCCATTATCTATATTCTTTTTTATAGTAGAAAGATCCATCGGTCGAAAAATAACGGAATGGTATCCAGGTGCTTGATCTTCTGTAATAGGTCTTAAAAATACAGACGCATATTTATGAGTAGCTAATCGATTGTAAACCAACATAACTGCTTTCTTCCATGCTCTGTAATCAGCACCTTCTCCAGTGCTTTCATTTTCTGTTTCACTGTCAACAGTGATAGTTTGTTTTTTCGAATAAGTTTTCATGGCTCGTCCACCACTTAATTTACTCAAAGAAGATTCTTCTTCATCTAATTCTGCAGTTTCTTCTCCTGCACTGACAACAGACTCTGTAGTAATTTCTTGTTTTATCGATGGCTCAGTTTTTATACATTTTTTAAGATCCTTCTCTTCCTTTATTTGATGCTCTTCCTTTATTATCATTTCTTTCTCTTCGATAAAAGAATTAGCAGTTTGTACAATCTCTTCTGTTTTGGGTTCTTGTTTTATTTGTGATACAATTTCTATATTTTTTGCGTCAAATATATTTTTCGTTTTAGTCTCTACAGATTCCATTTCCGTATCAATGATTTCTTCCGATGTAATATCTTGACAAGATTCTACAGCTATAGTAGATTCTTCTATTTCTTCCATTTCTTCTTTTATTTCAACACCTGGTAATGTTGAACTGACTGTATCTTCTGAAAAATCTCTCTCCTCCTTTTTATATTCATCTGTATAAATTTCTAAAGTATCTTCAGCCGTGACATCTTGCGATTTAACAGATAATTCTTCCGCTACTTCAATAATAGTTTTTTCTTTTATTAAAATAATTGGTTCCTCTTTAAATGATTCTAATGATTCCGTACTTTCTATCGTATTCTCGATAACTTGTTCTTCTACTATTTTTTTCTTATTTTCTATGCTATGAGAACTCTCGTCATCTTCTAAAATTAAACTAATATCTTGCGACTTCTCTGTGTCTTCTATACTGGGAACATCGTTTGTTACTTCTGAAGAAACGCTAGCAGCTTCGGCAGATGGTACATCTTGCTGTTCTCCAGTAATTTTTGCAAGATGTAATTCTAATTGATCTAATTCTAAACATTCTTTATTTTCTAATTCTTCCGAAGATTCTTTTTGTTCTTTTGTATTATCGCAAGATTCTTCTTTCTCAGATACAATCATTTCTTCTTCCTCAACTTCATCTATTTCTTCTTCAATAGTACCTTCAACAGTTTCTTTTACATCAGGTGTTTTTGAATCACTTTCTTCCGTTTCTACATTCGATACAGAATCTAAAATTTCAAGATCTTCGATAATTTGTTTTTCCTCTACAGTTGTATTTGCTTTATTATTATCTTCAACGTTATTTTCTACTTCTGGAGTAACTTCTTCATTTGGAATTACTCTCTCATCAAAATTGTTTGCTTCTGATTTTTCTTCTTCTTGTGAATTAGACACATTTTCTGATATTTCAGCTATGATAACTTTTGATTCTGATGGTTCTATCGCTGTTCCTATAATTTCAGCAATGTTAGAAGTACTAGAATCTATTTCTTCGATAGCCATTTCTTCGCTGTGAGGAGAATCAGAAAGTGAAACAGCTTCGTCTACGTCTCGAGGCTTTGGACGTTCAGGTATCTGTGGAATATCTTGAGTTTGAGGAATAGTAAGACTATTGATTACTGTATTTGTATTAACAGATTCTAAAGTTTGTGGACTGCCTGTTATTTCCTCCTTTATTAATTCTTCTATATCTCCAATAATTTCATTTATTTCGTCTTTATCTATCACGTCAGCCATTATATCTTTTCTAATAACATCGTCTATGTGATCTATTATTTGCACCATACTTTCTGCTGCTGTTTGTATATTTGTTGTAGCTGGGATTGCAAGTGTCGCAGGTGGTACAACTTCGTTTTGAATAGGAGTTTGTGAAACAGGATTTTGAAGATTAGGAACCTCTTGTGAAACATTTTGTTGTTGCGATACTATAGTCGAAGGTACTTGTAAATTTGGTAATGGACCTCTTTGAGCATTAGCAGGCATTTCTAATAACATAGAGAGTGTTGGAGCACCAACTGATGGTCTTTCAGGAATAACATTTGTTATTGGAGATGGTACCATTTGATGCATAGAAGAAGTTACGCTTTGTGTTATTTGTGAAATTGGTACTTTAGGACTAGAACCAAGAAGACTGGTAATAGTAGGAGAATTTATTTGCGCAGTAGATGTCGACGTTTGTATCTGAGTTGTTGGGCTGGGAGATTTTAATAAACTTGTTAATAACGGAGACCGACCACCTCTTCCTTTCTTTTCATCATCTTCCATTGAAACATCGGTCGATTCTGACAAGTCTGAAGATGTTTCAATTACTTTACGTTGATTTCTAACAGGAACATTTTGCGAAACCATTATTTCTTGCTTTTGTTGTCGTTTAGCTAGCCAAGCAGAATGCGCCCTTGCTTTTTGTTCTTGGTCACGTTCCTCTTGTTCTATGGCATGCCACATTTTTTGTAATTTTTCTTCTGATAAAGAACCTGACTTCAACAGGTTTACTTCTGCCTTAAGTTGTTGATACTCATCTCTTTGAAAAGCTAATATCTGACCTAATTCTGCCATTCTATCTTGAGTTAATCTTTTGACTATTGATTCTCCTGCTGTTTCTCCACTTTCTCTCTTTTTACGCTTTGGTGCATCAGCATTTTCCAAAAGGTATGCATATTGTATAGCACAAGATTTTTGAGAAAACCAATCAGGTGGTCGTAATGCTTCCTTCTCTGCAAAAGGTTTTAAAGAACGTGATACGCTCATCCAATTTTGATCTCCAGATTTTACTACACTAGATGCTAAACATAATTGCTCGCGTGTTGTCCATGTGTCACATGATATGCGTTTAAACTTCAATCCTGAAAATGTAAGAAACACAATCAGAAATGATTTGAACGCATTAGAAAATCTTAGGTTAGGAAATGAAATAAGATCATTTAATTGTGATATTTTTAATAAATAAAAGTAACCAATAAGATTTAAACAAATGTTTTATTTCATTTTTATATAACGTAATACTAAAGCATTATTTTTTACTGTTAAACATTAAATAGTTTATTATATCATAAAATTGAGTTAACCTTAAAATGCAAATCTTTATTTTATTATACGAATAAAGATTTATTATATGAACTTACTATCTTGAACAGATGTCATTTTATTTCAATAAAATATTATATCATTAGTCCATTCATAAACATCAATTATTGCAATAATAATTTTAGGTTTGACATCTTTATAACTTTATGTCTACCAACACATTATTAAGACTCATATTCACTGAACAAAAATAGAGGAACGCGCGGAATTGGAATGCGTTCGTAAATAACACTTTTGTAACAATTTAAAATTTGTTAAATGATATTAAGAATAATAATAAAAATGAAATATATTTTTAATAAGATTGTAGTCTTTAGATATATTTTTTTGTTTAATACAATTATATTTGAAATAGATTAAAATAATGATTGTAATACATTATGAATATGTCCAAAAAAAAGCAATTAAATCGGACAATTGGAAACGTTTAATATGGAAGCTTAAGCGTCGTGAAAATAGGAATACGTGGAATAGAACTGTGATGGTATGTAAAAGCAAAAAAATCTGTCAAAGGATGTTGTGGTCATATATGTCATTATTATATTATTCACGATCAAGTTTAGTTTCTTAGGAATATAATGAAAGACTAATGAATACACGCGGAGCATGTAAAATGAAAGGAACATTAAAAAATAATATTCATAGTTACTGAATAAACAAATAATAATCAGGAATTAAATCGTGTTACTGAATTGTGCATTGCTGTATATTATTACATCTATTGTTATCAATTTAATATTATTACTATTTTATTCAAATACATAGAAATGATTAATCGAAGGCGCACAAATAATTTCACTTATGTTAGTCCATGTGTGAAATATATGATATTTACGCTCAACTTTGTATTTTGGGTAAGTTAATGCTGTAATATTTTTCATGGGTATTTTACCAGATTGATAAATGTAAATAATACAATATGTAAATATTAAATATGAATATTTTAATTATCTAGCTATTTGGAGGATTATTAATTGGAGTGGGTCTTTATGCATTTGTTGATAAATGGCAAGCAACTGGTTCGGTAAGAGTGGAAAATGTATACGATGTCATTTTGAATATCTCCCTTGTAATGGTAATAGCCGGTGGAGTGGTATTCGTTGTAAGCTTCGCTGGATGTGTTGGTGCACTTCGTGAAAATACCTGCCTACTTAAATTCGTCAGTATCACATTCCTCCAAATTTATTTAGATTCTATTATAGATCATGATTCATATTAAATCTTTACAGTATTCATTGTGCCTGCTGGTTTTCTTCCTCTTGGAAATGGGTGTTGCAATAGTTGGTTTTGTATTTCCTCATACGTTACAATCATTATTAGAAGAATCATTTACAGAAAAAATTATTCAAACGTATAGAGAAGATCCAGATTTGCAGAATTTTATTGATTTTGGACAACAAGAAGTTAGTATATTTATCTCTTTTTTTTTTTGATATATCATTTCAAATAAACATAATAAAAAATAATATATAAAATCATGATTCTTATTTCTTTTTTTATAGTTCAAATGCTGCGGTTTAAGTCAAGCTGGATATATGGATTGGGGAAAAAATGAATATTTCAATTGTTCTAGTCCTAGTGTTGAACATTGTGGTGTACCATTTTCTTGCTGTATAAATGCTACAGACATAAGTGTAAATATTTCAATTTTATTGGTGTAAAAATACTATTTAAAACATATTATTATATAAAATATATTAATCAATATCATTATTAAATTTTGTAGAGTGGACTCGTTAATATAATGTGCGGATACAAAGACAAAGTCTTAACTCTTCCTGTATCAGAAGCAAGTAAAAAAGTATGGACCAGCGGTTGCATTGAAATAGTTCGCAATTGGGCAGAACGCAATTTATATACGATAGCAGGTATCGCTTTGGGTGTAGCGCTTAGCCAGTTATTTGTTATTTATCTAGCCAAGACGTTGGAAGGTCAAATTGAGTTACAAAGATCTGGTTGGCATTCCTGAGCTTGACTTCAGGCCACCTACCACTATTTTATTCATTCCCCAGCAAGGAAGCAGGTGGCCAGTGTCTATACAAAATGCCAGAATGCTAAAGGAAATGTGAATGCTCGAGTGGTGGCATTGCTTGTTCTATTTGCAATCTCATTATACATATTGTGCATTTGATTCTTCATTTCTTTATTATCTTCATTTGTACTTAGGTAAAAGAACATTTTTTATACTTAATATCGATACGAAAGAGGAAAATATTTCAATCATTTCTTTTCTTTTTTTTTTTTTTAAATAGAATTCTTATTATTATCATCTTTAAATCTATTCATTTCTCTAGAATAGAAATACTTGGCCATTGTATCCGAATAGATTTACACACTCCTCTTTTTGAATAATACTAAATTAATATTTTAATATATTATGTGTATAAACGTCTGAGATATTTACATATCTATATACTTTTTTTTTTCACTTTAGTATTAAATAATGGTCTATACATAGACCGCATCTTAATGTGTTCAAAGAAACGATAATGAGATTTATTATATTTTGACTGTTTTTTTTTTTATAGTCAACTTGGATGTAATCCTCATCTCGATTCGAATTAATTTGTTAAATGATATTTTAAATGTTATCTTTGATATACATTTATTGCGGAAACATTTTATTTTGATATATTTTAAAATTTAACAACATCTGCAAAATACGCACATCGCTTAAGTTAATAATATGTTCATATATATATATATATATTTTTTTTTAATACATCATGATATAGTATTGTTTAGTAAACGAGATATTATTATTATTATTATTATTATAGTATTCTTTAAAACATGTTAATTTTATATACTCTTTTTTACAACGGTGCACATTATTAATTACACCAACAAGCAGAAGAACATCCGGTGCCAAAATCAGAATATTGTCTTTAAAAATTTTCTTTTGAAAACAAATCTGACAATAATCTGGTATGAATGATTTGTTTATCCAGTAGGTATAAAAAAAAAATGGATTTACTGTGTCTTTTTATCAACAATAAATGTAAAACTGATATATAAAACCATCTAGTTTGTAATAAACAAGTACTATTCTAATATAACTAAATCCTTGCCATTGTCGTTGATATAATACAATTATTTAACAAAAATATGATAGATTTTAAATACATTTATTTATAAAGATTAACATCTACAGACGTATCATCAGAATATTCTAAAATAATACGTTGACCATCTATGAGCATAGAATTTTCGAATAGATCTGTTAAATGAACATCCATTTGATCGCTTATCAATGCACCCGTATTGTAGTTGAACAAACGTAATTTATTTGTAGTCGAAGTGTTGCTAGGAATTTTAAGTACTTCCACTAGGGAATCTATGATCTTACCAATGGTCCAATTTTTGTTAGTAAAAATACCTTTGCTGACAGTAGCATCTTTATTTGAAACAGTTTTCGGATAATATACGAGAAAGTAACAACGTTCACTGATAGGCACATTTTTAGGACCTATAGCAGTGCTTTTAACACGCATCAATTGTACCTGATAACAATGACAACAAGTTATTTTCAATAATATCATTTTGAAAAGGAATAGGATTACTATTTGAACATACTTTGTTAGCCATAGCAGTATTTTTAGATTTTCTTAAAGAATCTGTAACTTCTTGATCTACGATAGCCTTTGCTTGGGCAAATTTTCTCTTGGGTATTTGCCATTTTTTCAGTTTCTTTAACGTCTCGTCGTCACTAACTTCCATACAACCATGATATCTATGTTTCAAGCAGAAGTGTATCTTACATTTATAACATAACATCTCAACGACTGAAGTTTCTTTACAATCTTCTTTAGAACAAACATAATTAGAAGATTTTTCTTTAGGCAAAGTTACATCTGACTGAGGTTTAGAACATTTATGTGATTCTGCATTAAAGTGATTCTTACAGAATGTCAATTGACAATGGTCGCATTTAAATGGTAGAAAATCTAATTGTTTACAATTATCCAATGCACAATTTTCTCCGGTATTAGGAAATTCCATGTTTATATTTGTTTTACTTTTATTTGCATCCAACAATATGTTTTGTTATATCGTTAAGTAATAGTGTTTGTTTTTATTTAAAAATAATATTTTAATTATGAGAAGGTGTTGGAGAATGCAAATGATTTTCACTCAGTGTACCTAATGCCAAGTTATTCCACTTTTGTTCTAATTCTTTCAATGTCATGTGCGAATCACCATTATCACTTTCGGGATCTGGTAGTTCTGCTACTGGTACTAAAATATCATCTATAGGTAATTTTTCTTTACGCCATGCCTCATCGATTAAATCCAATAATCTACCATCACCACAAACTTGGCTGTCCATTCCGTTATTATTGAACAATGTAAATTGTGACCTTTATAATTAAATTTGTTTAAAAAAAAAACTCTATTGATATGTTTATACTCTATGGAGAATAGCAGCGCCCTGCTGCGGCTCTCAAGATAAGTAAACAGGGGGTAGCTGCTACAGCACCCTCTATTTCTTTTTCACAAGCTGTCATTTTGTTGTTCAAGGAAATTTTGACAATAAAAATATAAGAAGTAGAAAATAAGTAACTTCAAATTTAGAACATACATTTTCCAGAGTGGCATATTATCGTCAGTCACTTTAAATTTAAATCGCAGTTACATTTCGATTATTATCGATAGTTGCGCTGATATCGCTTTTAAATTTCCCGCGTATTTAAATTGTTAACTTTTAATTTGAAAAGTATGTGACACATGATTTTTATTATCTTATTCAATTCAAATGAATTATTTTAATTATATATATATATATATATATATATATATATATATTACTTTTTTATTATTTATATATGTAATAGTTCCTAATTTGTCTATGATCTGTTTAAAAGTTGTATTTATCGTTTTCAGATCTTTGGAAGACCAAGAATGGCAATGAGAAGAATTGAATCACCCTTTCCAAATATGGCAAAGACAAGATTAACCCACTCATCTATTGCTTTTTTTTTTTTAATTTTCTATCTAAAATTCGTACAATAAGGACACATCCCAGATTTACGTATATAGTTAGTGAAAGTTATCGAAGGTGAGCAAGTTTGTTAACGGTATCATTCATCTCAATGTTCTATAAATAAAAAAATCAAAATTTCGAATCTTCAATTAATTAATAAAAACAATGTACAAATTACTTCTATTCTATTGTAGAGATGAACATCAATATAATTATGAATCATTAATGAAGGATAAAAAAAAGTAAATCTTGTCAAGGACAAAGAAATCAGGTTAATAATTCAAACTTTGCATCGAGTGATAATACGTACAGGGTGTCCCAAATTTAAATGACCAAATTACGAAGGATCAATCTACTACAATTATAAATTTTATATCACATTATTTAGTAATTATTTATAATTTACGCAGTGGAATGTTATACTGTATGATAAACATATAATCTATTTAAAAATCAGATAAATTTTCAACTGCTATTGGACAAAATTTCAAACAAAATTGTTGTTAAATGTAAGTTAGATCCCTTGCAAGTTGAGTGATTTAAAATTGGAGACACCTAGTATATATTTGCACACATCCTTATATCTCAATGATAATAACGGTATTACGATCTTTGAAGTCACAGATTTGTGGTCTTGAAGATAGGTGTGTACTTCTCAGTTACTCAGTTACTCAGCAGTACTCAACGCTTGCTTGAACAACTTGGTATCGTCGAACGTTTTCTCAGTTAACGAAGGAACGTTGCCTTGTGTGGATCAACAGGTGGTGTGCTAGTGATCTCCCTGACACAAGAGTGTTCCACCATCCAAGCATGGGTTAGTAATAATATTTATTTTATCATCAATACAAATCAAATATATATACATAAATTTATTAATAATTATATATATACATACATGTTCCAATTTAGAATCAATTTTGTATCCTGTTTTTATGACTACGATGAAAAATTGAAAGATTTAGGATTAACACAATGGGATGATGATCGAAAAGAAAAAAAAATCGTGGGATTTCTCAATCACCGAGAAAAGAAAGTTCCAGATGATAGATCATACCTTTTTTTAAGATCATCTTTATAAACGTCATCTTTTATAAGACATTCGTCATTTTTTAAATATTATTTCTTTTTTTTTTTTTCATGCGATCATGTATATATATATATATATATGTATACGAGATTAAGATCTATTAATGGTGCTCTTCAGACACAGGATGTTACTGAGTAACGTTTTTACCGTTACGCACGTAGAAGAATTAATGAGATTTGTGTTTAAATTGTTTCTTTAAGTGACGTTTAGTCTCTTTCTCAAAGGCGTTATACAAATGTCTTTTGCATAATACTAAAAATATCTTATTGATGATTTAATATTTGATATTAGAATCAAACAAATATGAAGTATGAGTTGGAGTATCTTATTTTTCATTATTTTAAGTAGAATTTATACTTTGATATTTGAATCATTATTTTCCCCACGATATTTCTATTTAAAATATAAAATATTAGAATTGAAATAAATATAAAATAATTTAGATTATTTCGACGTATAATATCGATAAATTTTTCAAGATATTTTACTCTAAAACAAAGGATAATACAAACAAATTGTATTCTACATTTTTAATTGAATTTTTTTTTTTTATGTATAACATCACCCCTTGTTTTGTTATATCAACAATATTAAATATTTATTTATTAATTAATAATATAT